CTAACACACGGTTCACTAATTCCTGTCGTTAATTGTGCACAGCTTTGCCGTGCATGCCAATACCAGGCCATACACTCAAGAGCACTGTACACACAACTGCCAACATAGTCTCATCAATAATTCATTCATTGGATAATTTATTCATTAATGACCTTATCATGGTTGTCTGGAAGAAGACAGTGGATTAGCCAGTCTCCGAGCAGATACATTCAGATTCCCCTGGCCTCTCTCTCTCTCTCTCTCTCTCTCTCTCGGCTTCCCTAATATGAATGTTATGAATGTAAATACCTACTGAGTTCTTCAGATGGTGTGAATGACATTGGTCTTTCTCATGAGCAAGGAGAGATTTCTTTAAACCCCTATTGTTTTGTACTGTGAATTTGACAGTTAGAGTGAGGCTGGGTTAGACTAGCCATTCACACAATCATTTTCTTGTGTCTGTGATGGAAATTAAAGAAAAGCCAGACAAACACTGATTAGTTTTGTCATATCTAGTGATTTCATCAACATTTTTAATTTAAGACTTAATGATACATCATCAAGTTTTTAAAAAAGTATATTTTTTAAAGAATTTGTACTTGGCATTCAGAAATCACATGCAAAATTACTGTATTTATGAATTAAGTCTATCTAAAATATGATTAAATATATACTTTCGTTTTTTTTTTTAAGTTACTTTTGGTTAACAAAATACTTATTATAAAAACACTATTTTACTATTTAATGTATATACTCTAACACAGACTAAAATGTTTTAACCAATTTATTGATTCAGTTTTACTTTTGTACAGTAACATGTATGCACACACATACAGAAAGCCAAATAATGAACAAAACATGGAAACAGAAAATGAGTAATAAAAATAAAGAAATTGAAGAAGAAATACTGGTGATATATAAGTTGCCCTCATATAAAAGTCATGCTTTATCTCCAGAAAAAGGTTTGATAACAGCACATTACCATGAGCAATGGCATAGTGTTCCTTTATCTTAATTTAATTCATTGAACTGATGTTGGATATTGGGACTGAAGTGATAACTTATTAGTATGTGCTATATGATGATTCTCATTGGTGTTATCATAATTTTACTAGTAAGAATTTGAGTTTTTAAAGGGATATCTTTGCGATCTGTTTTTACTGTGTCATCACCACTACCATGGCTCCAGGCTGCTGCTCTTTTCTTTGGCTTTCAGACAGCCTGTCTCTCGGGAATGGGAGATTATCAGTGAGTAGGCCTAGGTCATGGTTAGAGAGTCAAAACGTGTACTCTTTCTCTGTGTCATAATTCAGTCAAATCTGAACACACCAACATGGCAAACATATTTTTAGCTTCAGTGTGACTTACACTTCTCGACGATGTCGTCTCAGATTACATCCGATGTCCATCGCAGACAAATATCCATAAAAACCTCTTTGAAAACACAGAGGAAAACGCTCCTGATAACTCCAGAACTTGCCTGAGAATAATCACGTCTTTAGGTTTTTCTTCGGTTTCAGAGGACTCTGCTGATAGTTGTTTGCACATCCGTTGACACATTGTAAATATGAACTACTAATAGTTCATTCGGCATACTTTTAATGGTGCCGGTTTAGCAAAATGTAAACAAACACACGCTACCAAAAAAAAAAGGCTCAAGGTGTGGGCCACAGCTAACTAACTCCATGGCAACTTTTTACTTCCTGTCTACGTCCATCAATGCCCAAAATTATGGGAACTGTAGTTCCAAAAACTTAGTGATTATCCCCTAAATCAAAGTATGACAAAGAATGATAAAAGGATGCACAAAATCCGTCACTTATTTATTTATGTATTTATTTCATATTGCACTACAGTAACAATATTTCAACGTTACTGAGGCTCCCATCCACATGGTTCGTATATTCCGGGAATACTGTCAGTCTTTGTCTATCCATGTACTTGCCCTGTGTTAAAAAACTGTGGACATATGGACAAGAAAGTCAATAATTCAAAAATGTGCCATGGATATTAATAACTCTTGGGCTGGGGTGGTAGCAGGACATGCACTTCCTGTTTCCTCCAGAAGAGGTCACTCTGAAATACTTCTGCAGGGTCACCATGTGTGAAAGAGCACCGATGATCTCCTGAAGCCATCTGCTTTTTATCTGTGCATACTGAGAGGAAGCACAGTCATATCAAATTGATTTTTGTTTTGCATAGATCATTTCTTCATTGTCAACATCTGCTTTAGTGTTCTAGCTGTGGATCAGAGAAAAAAAATACACTCAACCACTGTGCAATAAAGTGGATCCAATTGGGAAAATCAATGCTTGATTCACCTTGTCGGTAATCCCTTTTTTTTTTTAATGGTGTAATTTGCAACATGTTCCTCATTTGTCAGAGCCCATGGAGTAGAGGAGCTAAAGTACTCCCATGGTGCAGAGGATCATTGACATTCAGGAGCTGTTAACAGTGTGCCCTACTTTCTAGATAAAATCACTGACTTGTTAAATGAGGTAGAAGTTAAAGCAATGTTTCATTCATTTCTGTGTTGTTTCAAAACTAACAGACACAGTGGCACACAGGGAGGCTGGGGAGAGCAGCGTCTGTATTCAGACACCTTCACCGTCCTCTGCCAGAGTCACCATCTAACACGGCTAAGTAGGTAAATGTGATTGAGTATTGATCGGAGTGGTGGTGGTTTGGATTCCAACCATCCATCCCCTGAAAGGACACAGAGAGTGAAAACGTCCTTAGGGAGAATCCCCTGATGTTGTGATGACTTTTCATTCACTCAGTTATCTCAAAATATTTTTTATGGCATACTTTCCCCACATTCGTTCATGACCTCCAGACTTCAGCAGGGCAACAGCACCACTCAATGGACACAAGAGCACAGAACAAAGTAAAAACATATTTGTGATACACAGTGTTTACTGTGATTTAGGCTACTGTGACACTGAAGAACATTTCCACAAACAGAAAACAGTGTTGAATTCTTTTTTTTCTTTCTTTTTTTTATTGTCTTGTTTAGAAACAATGGTTCTTTTTTTCTGTCACTTTGTCAGAAATAACCAAGCATAAATCAGCTACTCAGCTCGATCTGGAGCCTCTCCACACACAGCTGAGGGCTCGTGTCAAAGTCACTCATTCATTCTTTTGTCTGTCTTTTTGTCCTTCTCCTACACACATATTTACACACACACACACACACACACACACACACACACACACACACACACACACACACACACACACACACACACACACACACGCCACACTGTTCTCCAGGAAACAGCATCCACACAGGATTTTAGTGGCAGTGTAGAGACACTGTATCATAGCAACACCATAGCAACGCTGCCTACAGCCGAAACAAAAAAAAAAGCTGCAAGCTTTAGTCTGCTATTGCTTTAGTAGGATGCTGTGTGGAAAGTTCACATGTCAGCATATCAATATGATAGGAAGACCCTGAAAAGCTATGATGTTTGATCTGCTGGCACAGAAAGCGTCATGTATATATATATATATATATTTATATATATTTACAATACAGGCTGTACGTATATCTAAAACGCAGATACACAGGTACATCCATGCACACACCCACACATGCAAAATTTCAAACATGCTTCCCAGAAGCAGTGAAATGGTCACATGTCTTAGACATTGTATAACATGACAGCAAAAATAATAAAAGAAAAGCAACAATGATACCATATACAGAGATATACTGACAATAATAACTTTAAAATAACATTTCATTTAGATAAGATTAACACTGAAAATAGTGAAAATAGTGACAGAGGACTAAATCAACAGTGATATCCAACACAATGTATCCATAACAGGGTTAAAGCACATTTATGGACCCGATGAGTGTTTCCCCTTTCTGTGATCCAGATCCCTCACGTACTTGTTTGTCCTGAAGCTAGTGCACTTTTCACAATGTTGTGCTGTCATGTACCCATATTGTACTGATCCTGGTTATTCCTGTAGACGGGGATTTGTGTCTTTACAGCATCTGTGGCAGGCTCCACAGATTTGTGCTGATGTAGGTCAGGGAGGTCCAGTTTAAATCAAATAATAATCGTGTATATGATGTAATCATCAGATATTGATGATGTTGTTTGTATGGCTGCTTTTCTAAAATGTACAATGATTAAATCAGATCAGGGGTGAATAGGATCTGTTTTCTCACTTCTAGTCGATAAAATATCTGAGAAGAGAAATTGTTCTAAACAGTTTCAATCAAATTGCTCATGTATATTCCAGGCAGGCCATGTGGCACTTTACAGAGATGGGGTTAAGATAGATTCCTCAGAGTAATCAATACAAATAAAGGTTTTCTAGTTTAAATATGAGTAACTTTCATGCCAACTTGAATCACACATAGCTTACTACAAAATCAGTTATAGTTATGTGTAAGCTTCCGGTAGGTAATCTATTACAATAATAGTTAAAGTGATATCAAATGAAGGTGTTGGAGATTAAACATTTACCAACACTATAGAAAAACGGTCTCATGATCCAACCTGCCGATGCTGCCTGATTCATTGGACCATCTTTCTTTTCCTTTTTTTTTTTTTTTTTTTTTTTTTTTTTGCAAGATATTGGATTTTTAGGTGAGGATTTTGAAGAATGAGCCAGAGCAATAAATACTGAAAATACCCCATCTAATAATGCACATGGTTAAGAGCCAATTATATGAAACATCAACGGCTGGTAAAAGAAAATAAGTTGTTTCATATTTGGAAACCCACATTTGTTCTATGGTATGAAAAAAATGGCTTGGAAAATAAATAAGTAGTGATATGCAGAATTACTGGAATACATGAGAAAAATACCCCTCTCTTCTTTGTGTGTGAATGACTGTAACTCAGCACAGTGTGGTACAGTAAAGATCAGTGTGGCTCAGCAGCATGAAAAGACACCAAAGTCCGTTGCCTGGATGACTCCCGCTCCTGGGTCACTGGGTGTCTCGCCCAGCTGCTCTGGCAGTGTGACCCAAGATTTAAAAAAAAAAAAGCTTCATTTCTGGGGTTCAGCTCTTGGCCTCAGTGCTCGTCTGATCGAGAGGGTGAAAAGAGGAGCGGATCCTCTGGGCTTCATTAACACACAGGTGACCAAACGCTTTGTTGTACCATTCTGGAGACCTCCCCCTGTAGCGAGAATAGAAAACAATGCACATTATTGATCGCGACGTTTATCAAAACCTTCACTATGAGAGCACTTGAAGTCCGCCCACACCTGAGGTCCACTCTGGAGATATGGGTGAGCCTCGTCCTCCCCGTCCCACAGGGCTCGAGGAGGTACTGTGACTCCAGCACAACCCCCCTCACCGCTCCCACGCGTGGGCTGTCGTCATGTTCGACGGACACACACACCAGCGCACATGAGCCTTTGCACAGGTCTGTACGCCATGATCTGAGGGGGTGGAGAGACACACAATAGAGAAGCTGTGAGCTCAGTCAGACATTGAATGTAGGAATGTGATATATTGTTTGATAACCTTTTTATTAGGACTGAAACTAATAAATATTTTCTTGATCTATACCGACATATAACATCAGGAAACAATGAAAAATGTCAGTCATAGTATCCCAGTGCACAAGGTGATTTCAGTTTACGATTGAATTTACTAATTTACTGTAAGACCAATACAAGCAGCAAATTCTCACATTTGAGATCCTGGTGTTTCTGTTTGAGAAAATGACTTTGTCAATTATTTAAATCCTAAAATAGCCTGAGATTCATTTTTTTTATACAGTATGGTATTTCAGAAATGTTCCTGTATTTAAGGGAAATATTTGAGCAGGTTGTTTTGAATAGTCTTAAAATACAAGCTTTTCATGTATCAGTTGGTATTGACTTTGTGATTGCCGTTTGTACCTGGAGTGCTATCTACTGCTCAGTGATGGAAAAAATTCTTTAGATAACAGCCTCTAACACAGACAAACACTTATGAATGAATTTCAGTAATCCTGACCTTAGTACCACGTAGTCACAGCTGGGCTGAGGCGCCATGTTGCGGCAGGAGTACTGGTACACGTCTGTCTGTTTATCCAGCGTCTCCAGAACCTTCTCCTGCTGTAGTTCGGTCTGCCACAGAGGGCGCTCTTTCAGCAGCCGCTGCAGCAGCTCACTGGGAGCTGCGGACACCTCCACACACACTCGCCACCGCCTCAGAGGGTTACCATCCCCTACCTTACACACAAACACATGGGGAGTGTTAGATTTATTGTGACAGGGTGGGTACAAAAGAGCTTTATGCCTTATCTTATCATGTATAATTTGAATGTATAAGTGGGCGCACAGAAATGTGTGTAAAAAGATTCCTTTAATTTCATTTCTTTTGGCCCTTTAAACCTCTAAGTAACATTTATAATGATGCTGATATTCCCTGTTTTCCCTCCCTTGTGTCTTTCTCTCCCACCCCTCTCAAAATCCAATCATATTCCAGCAACTCAATGACCACACACCTTTTTAAATGCCAGTTCTGTGTGGTCAGTAGTTGAGCGAGACACCCAGCCTTTGCTCTTATCCCTGGCTTCTTTCAGCAGGTTCTGGACCAGGCTTTCTAGGTGTGTATGATAGGATCCTTCCTCATCCTCCTCTTCCTCTTCCTCATCCACTTCCTCCTCATGAGCCTTGCACAGCTCGTCCAGCGGGGGCACCATCAGCTCAGCCTCCATGTACGAGTTGCGAGACTGCGTCACCATCTCCTCTGGGATCTAGGGGAACAGCCAGAGGACGTGCATCACATCACATCACATCACATCAGCTCTGGGCTAAAGATTACCAAGTCTGAAACAGGAAATACACTTTGACAAATAAGTGCAATTTAACTGGGTTTTCCATTTACCATTACATCAATAACATATACCCTTTTTTTTTTGGTACAAAAATGATAATATCCAGCGTCCACTCACTGCCTTTCAAATATCACCATCATATAAAAACCTTTAAACTTCAACACTGGTCTCTTTTAATGTTTTGGAAGTATATTAGTACATTATCAATACAGTACAGTATCCTGAGTCAAAAAGAGTCAGCCACTCTTGTTTATCTGAAAACTCTTCAAACCACATTAAACGCAGAAGCACATGGTAATCAAGCCTGTTTTCTTAGTCCCTTTAGAGATTTTCGCTGACGGCAGCAGTAAATACACTGTACACGCTGACAGCCTCAAGGTAATGATGATATACAGTTTTAGAAATGAGCTCAGACACAGTTATAGAGTGTCCTTGGATAATAACAACTCAGCAGAGGAAACGTCACCCCGCTTCATGTTATTTTTGTCTGTTAATTTCATATATAAAGACGTGGTCATGTATTATTTCTTTGTCAACACAATGAATTGTAAAACTGTGGTCAGTCATTTACAATTTTTTTACCGTTATGGAAACAAACAAGAACAATCTTACTGCTGTAAATAGTCAATCCTGACCTGGAACAGACGCTGGCACTCAGTGATCATGTGTGCCAGGCCCTGAGTGGCGGCCAGATTCTCATTCAGGTCTTTCTGATCGGGACGGCCTGTGGTGTACTTCCTCTGGATTGACCTTGAGGAATAGGAATACGCAGAACATAAAACATCTGAGCGTTTACATGGAGAAACAGAAGAACGCACTTATTGGAGTAAAAGTTATTTCTATCATGAGAACCTCCACCAAACAACAGTATAAAATAATAACACGGGGGAAGCTTGATACTGACATGGTGGAAAATTACATAGAGGGAAATCGGTGACCATAATAGTAATGACAGTAGAAGTGACATTACTTATACTACTGCCATTATACGAAGTATTACTGCTAGGCACAAATGTAATAATACTGACAGCAACAGGGCTGGTACGAGGTCTCATCTGTTCATAATAACAACAGACTTCGGTCACTGAGTTTGAGCATCGGTGCCCTCGTCAGTTCAGACGCGCACCTTGGCGACAGCATCTCGTTCTTCAGTATGCTGAGGTGGAAGAGCGAAGGTCCCAGGCAAACGGCCAGGTTCATCGGCGTCATCTGGTTCTCCTCCACCAAGGAAGTGACGTCGCGCAGGAAGCAGAGCAGCGTCTGCAGGACCTCCCTGTTTTCGTCTGGCATCAGCAAAATGGCCGCTCTGACGGCCTGCAACCTCTGCTCCTTTGGGACGTCTGAAGAAAAGAGGAATTGAATGATGGATCGGAGAAAAAGTCACAGTTACCAAAACCCAAAATATATTTTTTAAAGATTATTATTTTGGCTATTTTCTATTATTTGATAGTTGACAGTTGGTATGTGTTTTAACCATTTAGCCACCAGATGACCCAACGCCAAATATTTGATGTCTTTAAGAGCACATATGCACATTTCAAACATAAAATTATGTATACATAATACATAATTATGTATACATAATACATGTATACATATATATATATATATATACACAGGAAGAAGTAAAAATTTAGATTTGAAATCACATACTATTTTGGTCAGATTTGGTTAGTGCTGCTGATATATTTCATGACTGAAAAAAAGAAGCTCATTTGCAGCATTTTGGACGTGATCAAAAACGATTATTCTAAAGGAAATAAAAGTATTAAACAGTCATTGTTAGACATGAAAAATATGTGTCACTTATTTCTTCTACTTGCTGTAGCTGCAATGTAAACTGTTTGAAATTCAACTCGTGAAAGTAACATCAGTTTATTGGCTGGCTGAACCAATCCACATCCGAATGATCTCCTTGGCCAGAGGCTGAGGCAGATACCATCAGCTGTGTTGCGACAGCTTCAGTATTTTGTGCATGCCGTGACGACGTGTCACGGGATTCACGGCTCCTGAGGGCGACTTACACTGGTAAATATGCAGGAAAGTTTCCCCCAGCTTGCTTGTTAGCAGAGGCTCAGGCAAATCTCTGAAGAACTGCTTGACCATGTCGGCCACGTCGTAGGCTGACTGGTCCTCGTAGCTCACAGAGTCAGGGGACAGCTCACACTGCTGCCTCAGAGCCTGAATACGAGACTTCACGCCGGATTTGCGGAACAATCCCACCTGAGAGGGGAACGCCAGCGGGGAGAGATGAGGAGAAAAAACAAGGCACAAGGCTTTTTGTCAGCTGACTCGTATTTGAGATTTAAACAACCAAAATTAGCAGAATGAGGAAGAAATGTACAGATTCTAATCCAGTCGTGTAAAAGCTGTTTTCTAACCTGGTCCAGACAGTGTGTTCTGAGGTGGCTGAGGGCCTGCTGTAAACACAGAGGGAGCGGAAAACCACAACGCTGGACATGGACGATGAGGGGAACACCAAACACACTCTTCTCTTTGTAGTCTGGCACCTTGATGCGCTTCATAAACTTGGGCACAGACCTGGGAGCGATAGACAGAAAACAATTAGGGAAGTGTGTGGGAGAAAGAGCGGCCTGTGCTTTCATTATCTCTCTCCTCATGTAGATGCTGGTCAACAGAATTTCCCTCTCGGGGATAATAAAAAATGAACAGGACCGGTCGTTAACAACACAAGGATGTGCTTGTGTTTGTGGGTCATGGAGACTGGTGGGTTTTTTTTTTTTTTTGCGGATGTGAATCTAAAGCCAGTTTTTTGACCAACACTGGCGCCTTTGATTACTGAGTATGCACAAACCCGTGCTTGCTGCAAGGATCAGTGAAGTACGTGAAGCAGATGTTGTGTTGACTGTGCATATGGTCCTGGTAATTCAGCTCTGATGAAGAGAAGTTGTAAGTAACAGAGGCCACTGTAATAGCTGTGACACTATTGCTGTCACAGAGCACATATTCCTCAGTTGGCATGGAAGATTGGAAATTATAAGGCAATAAAAACAAAACAGAAAGTTTGTTCATATAATTTAAATGAGAATACAGTGAAAAAAATAAAATAAAAGTAAGACCAGAGGTTCCAGACACTTTCCATGTCAAAGTGTCTGACATCACATCTTGTAAATTCCCTGAATTATGAACTCATGCATAAAATATGAGCTAATAGCCACTTTGTGGAGAAGAAGAGAAAAACATATGGACAGAGACAGGGTACAATCTCTGTCAGGCACTGGTGTGTGGCAGCGCGGATACCCACCATGTCCAGCCGTGTTTGTTAGACATTGAGTATTTCTCCATGATGGCGGTGAGGCGGAGCAAAGAGAACTTCTGCAGCAGGCTGAGCTGGCCTGCTGATTGGCTGCCGATCTGCAGCGAGGAAGCTGGCTGGTTGAGATGATCAGAGGTTCTGAAGCTGGGCCATCGCAGACTGAGATGGGGGAGAAAAGAACAGGAGACTCAGAGTGATTCAGCTAATGTAGAGGCCGGACCAGGTCATTTTAAAGGATAATTCTCATTGTTTCTTATCTGTGATAATAAAGCTGTAGATCTGGGTATACAGACAGAAAAATACAGCAATGCAGGAAACACAACCATCAAACTGCCCCATCCTGGCTCCAAAGCTGGAGGTTTGGGCAAACTCCAGCAAAGAGAATGAAGGTGTAGCTGCTATTAAATTATTCCTTATTAACCATTCATTGTAAACATCCCTCACAGCTTGTAGACCAACTTCCTGGTTCAGCTTTTGCTAACCATATTAACTGTACTACAGTTTTCCTCTGCAATGGAAGTATTATCACTGATATTTTGGGGGCCCTCACTTTCAGTTTTACCTCCAAATAAAGTGGTTTCAATGATCAGGCTTGTTTACAGCCTGTCTGACCGTCTGACAGCTTGTTTCTTGCCTTATTAGACTTTGCTGTAGTGATGTGTGCACGTTCCAAGATCTCACTGATTACTTTGGTGTTCACAATGTTTTCATAGCCAATAAAAATGAGGGCCAAAACTATGAAAACACAACCCAAGTTTTAATAAACCCAAATTATCTGAGCAGCTGCTCACCGTGGTCTTGTCAGTGAGGCCCCAACTCCAGAGTCCCGCCTCTCCCGACTGGTCCCTGTTGAATCGGTGTCATTCAAGGAGACTCCATCTCTCTCGCCTTCGCTGGGGGTGGTCCTGCCCTCCCCTTCCTCCTCCCCCTCCCCTGTCTCACCCTCGGGCAGCACGCTGCGGCTCCAGTGGTCCACTATTTGTTGCAGGCCGCTGACGTGCTGGATGATGTCGTCCAGGTGAGGGAACAGGTTGTCCTCTTTCTCTAAGTCCAGCAGGTCTCCTGTGCTGGCGTACAGGTGGGAGCCCGGCACGTTGTCATAAACACTCGCCCTGCTGCCCCGTGGCGCTCCAGGACAGGGGGGCTTGGAAAGAGGTTTACCAGACCAGGGCTCACCCAGGCCATTGTTGGGTGGAGAAGTCTGGGCCTGTGTCTGAGGGCCATTGTTCTTGTCGCCAGGGGAAGGTGCCAGGCTCTCTATGGATAGAGCTTTTGGAAAGGTGCCTGGCTTATGGTCTTTGGGGATGTGAATAAGGAGGTTTTCATATGAGTGAAACTGGTTTCTGCCAAACTGGCTCTGCCCTTCAGTCCTCTTACCCTGAGAAGGCAGCTCCATATCCTCCAGATACATGCTGCTTCTCTTGCTGGCAGTGCGGGGTTTTGTACACACAGGCTCCTTTACATTGGGCGCCACTGTCTCACTGCTGGGGCTCACACTCACCATGGACTGGTCTTTACAATCATTGGTAAGGCTGACAGGAGAAGTGTCGCCATCAGTTTCATGGATGTGCTTAGGGCTGTGCTCTAATTGGCTGATGGGAGTACACTGGAGCATCTGCAGTGCCTGAGGCTCCTCCCCCTGTAACACCGGCCCGCTGATGACCAGCGGCGGCCTGCGATTTGAGCTTTTCCGCCTTGTGGATGGCCCCCAAGTGCGCATCATTTCCATTCGACGCAAAAACTCTTTGGCTTTGCTCCGCCCTCCTTGCCCATGGCGGCTGCTCTTGATTGGCAGGGAGTTGTAGTGTGGGAGTTCCCTTGGCGGTTGGTAGGAAGCGGAGAGGGACGCCATAGATATAGAGTCAGGCATGGCGGAGGCGGAGTCCTCACTGTGCAGCGAGGAGATTTCTGTGATCTCCTGCTCGCTCAGGTCCGTCAGCACGCTCTCACTGCTCACTGTGCTGCGCAGACCCTCCTCCCCCTGACCCGTCGGGCTGCTTTCATTGGTGCTGTCCAACAGGAAGTCTTGAAGGCGAGACCAGCGTCGGCTACTCCACTCGAATGTCCAACGTTTGCTGATAGCCAACGGGTCATCTTCATCAGAGTCATCACCCTATGGAGGGATGAAGGAAGCATTAGGTAACACAGTCCATGAGGAGTTTGTGTTTGTGTTTGCACAGATTGATTTGGTGTAAGAAGAAATATCCTGACTAATTCTTTTCTCTTACTTCTAGTCCATTTAAGATTTACAACAAATAAATCAAGGGTTGTAAACACATGGAATGACAGATTACAGATGCCCTTCATCAGCACTACATGTGACGTGAAATCAAAACAAATTTTGTTCTTCAAAGTCTCACTTTGAGGTTTGAACCGAGACTATGAAACAGAACATTTCTTCTAAATGTAGCAATTGTAATTTTTGATAGAGGCTACAGTATTTTGGGTGTAGCTTCTTGGCGAAATGATACGATAGTCCTGATGAAAACATACATCCCTGTTAGTTAATAGTTAAGTTAATAGAACAATATGAGTGGAGATTTCCTGGTTGTAATGTACAACACTTTAATGTCTCATTTCATGTAATTTACAACTATTTATTATTTTCTTTTATTATATTTCAGATATCGATGGTACACTTGATATATCTGATGTATTATTGTCTCTGTACATTCTTGATAGAGTTTTCACTGTGTGCTTCTTGAATTGTTGATTGTTTTGAGATGTCGACCTCCCTGGGCGGGTTGGGATGGTTAACCAAACCTGTCATCATCCCTACTGGTAATTATGGGAGTGAAGACCATTTTGAGTCAGTGCGCAGCCATTGATCTAGTCTGAATAACAACATTCCCATCTGCCATAAATCAGTTGGACCGAATGTAAATGCACCAGAATGACATGTGAACACGGTCTAAATGACATCACATGGTGAACCCCCCCCCCCTTTCAGCACCATGGCATCACATTTTCAGATGTATATTGCAAAGACAAAGTATTACTTTGTATAATAAGTGCGTATAATAAGTGATGAACAAATCTCCACAAAGATATTACAGAAAAATGTGTCTATTCCTGAGCGTTGGCTACGTTCTCTGTATTTCTTTGTAAAAACAAAACAAATGTAAAGTTAAAAAAATTTTTGGCTTACTTTCTTCTTGGGGTGGCTGACATCCAGTTTCATGGAGGCACACTTGTTCAGAGTATTTAGACGTCTGCAACACACACACACACACACACAGAGTCAATCAAACATGCTAGACCTGGTAGGTTAGATATGTTCTGTCTGTTGCACTACGCTGCTCACTTTCACTCTCCTCTCTTACTTTTCACTACCACCTTCTCCTTCTTTTCTTCTGAGTCTTTCAGACATGCCCCTTCATTTCTCCTATTTGATCTTCTCTGACTCTGTCTATCCCTTTCTTCTCACCCTGCTTCTCTCCTCCCATCCGTGCCCTTTCTCCTCCTTATTCCTCCCTCTCCTTCTCCAGCATCACTCTTCTGGGACATCCTCACGCTGAAGCGCAGCCGGCTCCTTCCCTCCTCCCTTCATCTGTCACCCATTCCCACCCCCTCTTTTACTTCCATACTCTAGAGTGCTGGGGGCAACATCCTTACAAAAAAAAAAAAAAAAAAACATCTCTCTGCTGTCTGCACCCATCCTTCCCACCCACTGTCTCCCCCTTTCTGCAACTGAATGGGATGTGAACAGAAGCTGGATAGCAGGGTGGTGTCTGTGTTGGTGCCTTTCATGATGGGATCATTAAAAACATGTTTTTGGGTCTTGTGACCTCTGTCATTTAAAAGATTTCAGCCTCTGGGAAATCCTTGTTTGTACACTGTTAACATTCTCTGTCCTCTCACACAAACTGGCAGACAGGAGGGATTTCTTGTTGCTGTGCCAAAAAAGAAAAAAACACCAACAGCAAGCATAGAGCTGTCATATCAACTGTCTTTCAAGCTTAAAGTAACATTCAAGTTGGAAAATATACAGAGGGAGCCACTGTAGTCTCCACACCCTGTGTTTCTGCTGCAGGATGGTACAAACAATCCTCGACTGCACATATATTCATACAGATTGAGAAGTCTATGTTCCATACAATGTGTATTTTTTGCAAGCACGAGTAAGCTAAATAATCTAAAAAGGGAGAAAAAAAAAAAAACGTAATGTAAATGTAAAGAGTGATGCACAGAACAAGAGAGACCTCATTATGATTTTACAGCTCCTGAGACTCAGCTCAGGGGGGTCTGATGTGTATTCTCGTGCAATATAGCTGTCAGGAATCACTAACGCTATAATTACCACACCCCTCCTCTATCATAGACATTGGGGGGAAAAAGATAAGGGTGGGGAGGGGCGTGTGCTTGTGCACGCTGGGAAAACTTCACTGAGGAGGAGAATAGGAGATGTGAAACAGAGAGATCATAGAAGTGCGCAGAGGCACCGCTCAAAGCCATCTGGTAGAATACACTGGCATCCACTCACTCCTTCCCCGTTTCCCTCACCCCTTAACTCCCACTCCCTTCTACCCCACCACCACCACCACCACCGTGTTTTGCCCCCTGAGGGTCTCCTCTCTTTGAATGGGAGATCAGAGCGTGGCAGTGGGGAGGGGGAGGTGACCAGATCAAAGGCTGGGTGTCTGAGCGGGAGACAGGGGTGGGGAGTTCGTTAAGGGTCGGGGTCATACGTCTAATGATTAGCCTGTTAGCACCAGGCCGCAGAGACAAGTCAATGCACAGAGCTGGGGGGCAGAAAAGGATTCTGGGGTGATTTTACTGGTGTTAAACGAGGTCTGCGTGTGTCCGGTGTGTAAGTGTACAGTATGAATATGTGTGTTCTTACCGACACAGAGGCTCCACCAGATCCCGGTCCAAGAAGTCATGGTCCCTTTTCACTGAGGAAATATCAATTGGAAACTGGGAATCTATGAGACAGAGTCAGAGAGAGAGAAGAAACAGTGAAAAACGAGATACTGAGTTTGACTGACAGGAGACTGGAGATAGCAGTTTCCTCTGACAGTTTAACTGAAGTATACGGCACAACTGCTGCTACAGTGAACACCTGCCATCTGCATCTGGAGTTTACAGAACACACACAGACACACACAGACACAGACTCAGACACATTTTCAAACCCCCAAAATAACTTGGATTCTGCACAATGCCAAAATGACTCAAGGCTTTTATTTTGGCGATTCTCTGTGTGTGGTGGCAGACTGCAGGCATCATGTGCGCCCTGGAGCCGCCACAGAGTCCCAGAGGCCAGCATCCATAACCCGACATTACTGGAACTCACAGGATTTGTCAGAGAAGTGCAGTGTGTGTGTGTGTGTGTGTGTGTGTGTGTGTGTGTTTGTGTGTGTGTGTGTGTGTGTGTGTGTGTGTGTGTGGGTGTGTGCTGCTAAAGAAGGACTGCTGGATTTTAAGAGCCACTTCTTAGATTACTGGGGCCATTTCCTGTTTGTGTCTCAATTGTATGAGGCTTGATGATCATCACATGAATGAATAGCTGTAGCTTTTCCAGAAAGGTGGAAAACGGGCAAGATGAAAGAAAGGACAGAGGAAGGAAGAGTGAGAAAACGCAGGCTTTGACAGGGAGATGACCGACAGAAAGAGTGTGGGCGAGTCGAGGAAAGGGTAGAGAGAGAGAGAGAGAAAGGTGGAATAAGGAAGAGAGAAAGAGAATCTGTGTGAGAGTCCCAGCAGTGATAACAAGGCCTTTCCCATGACCCCTCCCTCTGGACAGGAACTGAAGCCTGGAAATAGAACACAGAGGCCTAGAAGATGGGGATATGAAGATGGAGGGATTGGAGAAAGAGAGAGAGACAGAGATGATGGAAAAAATAAGACAGAGGGAGTCAGACAGAGAGAAAACAAGAAGCAGGAGTGAACAAACGGAGAGAAATGAAGAGGCGAGTGTTTGTGTGAAGCAAGGCAGCTGGATAAATTCTGGACTTTGGCTACTGTGTGTGTGTGTGTGTGTGTGTGTGTTACCTTCGTAGAGCTGGGCATACTGTGGAAATCCTGCAGCTCTAAGCCAATCACAAGCCTCCTTAGCCTCAATCTCTGCAAAGCAAAAATAAAGCAGTAGAGGCATGTTGATTACACACAGATTAGACAGATTTTTTGGCATTTATGGTTTTACCGTTTAATACAAAATCTGAAAACAGTTAAGAGTAAGGGAGCTAATATCACATCATGTTGAAGGAGGAAAGTCCCACATTATTAAATTTCCCTCTGGGAATTCCAGTGGACTGTATGTCTTCTCTATGCCAAGCTTGATGAGCTGTGTTAATTATTTTCTCTCTAAAATATAAATAAATTTAGACTCAAAGGCAAAAATGATGAACATAACATTGTATTCATCTGTTCTCCTTATCCCAGCATTTTCAGCATATGGGGGAGGAACATCTGAGGGAATTACATTTTCCTCTGGGAATTCACTGGAATGATGGGATTGGAAAAAGCTGGACGTGAGCCAGAGAGGGATGCATTATCCTGAGAGGACAAAGGGAAACAGTTTACACAGTTTAACATGAAATATCCTGTATTTTCAAACAATATCCACTCACATGAACCAGCGGCCAGGTTTCAGCTGTTATTGCATAAATTTAACAGGCCTTACACATGGCACCACACCCCATTAGCCGCTGCCGCCAGAATTACGAGACGTTTTACAGGCATTTGTTTTACTACTTTTTTCCGCTTGCATATGTATTGCTCAGACTGCTAAACTGGCAGCTCTCAAACGTGCGTGTGTGTGTATGTTTTCTTTATGAGCAGACACTGATTAAACCGCTCTGCAGAGCTCTGTGCTTACAAAGACATATGAATGACCTTGGTTTAAAAAATCTTTGCAGATTTTTTAATAAAATACAGAAGTATAAATTTATATATAATATACATACAGACACCCATCCTCACAATCACACCCATACATACACATATATATGTAAAACAAGGACAAGAGAGACAGAGAGAGGGGGGTGGGAGGTGGGGGAGGGGGGCTTGTAGAGGGATATCTTCTAAAAACTCAAAGCAGAAATGGAGAAAGAAGAAGAAGAAGAAGAAATAGCTATATGACCAGTTTTTCAAAATAAAATCAACCTTCACACAAAGCTATCAAATATAACACAAAAATATCACTCTCATTAACTAGAAGGCATTCAGTAGAGCATATATACCTCCGCTAAGGCCAAAAAATCCTACACACATCTCTCAGATCTGGATTATTATCTGGATCTGCACCAAATGTCATAGATATCAACACCAGTAATATGTCAGATATTTTACATTAAGACTGATAGGATAACATTATTTCCCGAGAAATTTACAATGTTGAAATACGTCCTTTCTTGCAATATTAAAAAATTCCTGGATCCTCCCCCTTTAATCGGATTCACACCAAAATCTTACCCTGGCCCATGACCCATCCCTCCATCAGGTGCAAATCAGGTCAGTGCTTTGACAATCAAACAAACAAACAAACGCAGGTGAAAAACCACCGCCGACAACAGTAATCCTGCATCATCCTTAAAAATCACCGCCCTCATCTCATACCTCTTCTCAAAGCCCCACTCATTCCCTCTCACTCGTCTCATTCATTGGTTCAGAGGTGCTGGCAAGTGAAGGAGGCAGCGAGAGGGCACCGCAGAAGCACAGGGGACAAAGTTCAGCATGGCAATAAAAAGCCTCCGTCTTCACCATCAGAGATGAGAACGGTCACAGGAAATGATCCTGCCACCGCAATCCAGCAATTACGTCCCTCTCCCAACATTCTCAGCATAACTCCTCTCTCCAAATCACATATGAGGCAACACATGGGCAGATCGTGAAAAGATTTTTTTTGTTTTTTTTTTGGTAACACTCTGAAAATAGGCCGTAGAGAAAAGAGAAATTCCAGTGAGAGGCAGGAAACTCAAGAGAACTGAAAACTTACTTGAAGCCTTCATGGTGCGGGTGATGACATGCTGCTATTTCTTTCTCCTTTGCTCAAGACTGAAGTTTCCCTCTCCGTCCCATCGCACATCCATTCACTACCGTCCAGCTTTCCATCAAGTGGCAACTTTCTGTGCTTTCCTTCCTCGCTGCCTTTCCAACCCCTTGTGTTTACAACTCTGCCTCCCTCTACCAGCCTGCCCCATGCAGGTTTTCTCTTCCCTCTAATTTTCTCCTCAACCTCCTCTCTCGCACTTTCTGCTTTGTTAGGATCCACATACAATATCTCTCTATTTTTACAGCTCTCTCTCTGCTTCTCCTTTCGTCTCCTCACTCTTGTTCTACTTTCTTGCCTTTTCCCTTTTATTCCTTCTTGTGCCCATTTCTTTCTACATCCTGAATATAACTTTTCCCCTTTCTCTTACTCTTAACCTTATCTTTCTCTAAACAAAAATACTCCCTCACACATTTTCCTCAATCCATCCGTCCATGTTTCTTTTGCTGACACCTTTTCATCCTTTCTTCCACTTTGATCCAACAGGACTCCACATCTTCTTTGAGAGCTGCTATTGCCACATCTAATCCACGGAGGAAATGGCTCATTTCAGCTGGCGTTTGCATCAGCCAGCCCCCCCACCCCCCCACCCTGAGGTCACAGACTGACGACTGGTGGACGCTAACTTCACATGTCAGCTGAACCGACTGGCAGGCTATGGCAAGGAGACTCTGACCTCGTCCTCTTTCTATGAGTTTACTGTACAATACTGCAGGAACCAGATCAGTAGTGTGGGAGGATGCATTGTGGAAACACACACATACATTACACACACACACACCAGCACAGACATTTAGCACAGTCCAGATGTTGCCCCCAGTGAGTCAGAGAGAATGCAAAAAGGATGAGACAGGCAGACAGCTGGGGTGGGGAGGGCAGTAGAGATGGACAGACCCTGTGAGAAAACCGCAGGGAGGAAGACATACCACAGCAGCCACTTATTCACTGCATGTGAGATTTGAAAGATTTCTCTCTTTATAGAAACCAGGTTTTGAAAAAAAAGATCCTGATCATTCCAGATTGTGCCACAGACCTGCATTAGAAACACTTCAGTGAGGTTGCACAGGTCGACATGTTCCTTCAGTACAGAGAACGCAGGAGCTGTAGTTTATTTTGAGCCAATCCCACACACAAGGTTGTGGTGCCATAAAGTCAACAAATGCACAGTCTATTCCTGTTTGAGTAAGGTTTGCTAAAAACGACAGCACTACAGCTGCTTTAGAAAATGAGAAACTATATATTCATGACTAGTTTTTCAAGGTTTTTGTCTTTAGAAGGAACCAGCGGGCTAAACACAGGCTGGGGAAGGTAAAAAAAAAAAAAGTCTTTACAAACTAAACTAACTGCAGCCCTCATACATAAATAAATGGGTTATTGTACTTGTAAATGCATAACTTATCCTACATAGAACCTCAAAACCCTCCATCAACAAATTGCACCAACACCGACTTTTCGAGTGTCGCATTCAAACATAATAACTACTCATGAAGCCATTGTGGTCCTGAGATAAGGTTGAAAAAAAAAATAAGCACAGAGTGGCGCACTTCATCATAGTGTTTGTGCATGTGGAATTGGCGATGCGTCTTTGTGTTTGTGCACAACGGTGCCAAGTGGCAAAGCTCCTGTCAATGTGGGAACAAAGCGTTGCTATTCATCTGTGCAGAATTTAATCAAGAGATTAATTAGTACACAAACATGTTATTAGTGGACCACAAAACACACCAATGCGCACAGTCGGGCAGAGCTAATCCGAGCTGCCTACCGTGCTTTTCCTTCAGCCTATTCCATGTCGCTGCTTTCCTGCAGCGTAGAATATATGACAACAGGCAGCAGGCCACTAGAACAACAGCAGGGAAGGTAGACAGATGGTATGTGTGTGAGTGTGCGTCTGACTATGTGTGGGTGTGTGAATATGGACGTCCATGTATGGGACAAAAGGGGCTGTAAGGTAATTCCTTACATAACAGGGTGCCCACTATGTTACATAATACATCTAGTACAAGCACCCCAATGTCCTCACAGCTTTTTTTTTGTTTCTGAAAGTGTGCCTTCGCCTTTCTTTCCTCTAGCTTTCATTTTCTCCCTTTTATCCAGCGGCAGAAACCTTGACTTTCTGACAGGCTTTTCTCAGTATTATGTCTGTGTAGTACTGGGTCTCAAGGACCCTGAAGTGCCTCGCATGACATCAGTTCCTGCTCTGAATTTCCCAAGCGTCCAGAGCGGCATGTGAGCTAAGAACAGCAACAGGAAGTCCCTGGACTGAACATGTCAGTGGGACTCAGCTGGGATAACTGTACTGAGGTTCACAAATGGATAATGAGCGGCAACAGAGAGCAGAACCGGAGAGTAGTTACTTAATTTCACAAAGTCATATCTAAATGTTGCTTAAGTCAAAATCAATTAGATAACTAAGATATAAACATCACAGAAAGAAAGGGACAGAGGAGACTGCGTAGGCATGAACTGAGTGTCTCTACAACACTACACACACACATGCATACACACACATACACATACACGCACAGTATGCCTGGAAAGCAGCCATATTCCCACATAAGCTAAAGCACTTACTCCTTCATGTTTAAAGGTCACAAAGAAAGAAAAAAAAAACTAGTGAAGAAGGCAGAGGAGGAGTGAAGGGAGAGAGGGAGGAAGGAAGGAAGGGAGGGGGGAATATGTCTGTCCTGTCCCGCACGGTTCATCTGCGATGATGTTGAGTCCTAAGGAATGTACTGTAAAACAGAATCAACGCTGGCATCACATCAGTGCAGGTTCAGGCACAGAGTCTCCTGCGCATCACTAACTGCGGGACAGCACAGCCCGGGATATAACATGACAGGTCCTGGCAGGACTGCTGAAGGTTAGCAGTTAGCCATAATTAGTAACAGCACCGGGGGTTATGGTGAGTTACCAGACTGCATTAATAAGGTTGGATATGATGAGATTGGATGAGACAAGACTGAATGTGATCCGTCTGTGTTTTTGGTTATGCCACCTTTTCTCCAGCAGAGGGTGTTAAAGCAACATGCGACAGAAGTGCATTTACATTTCTGTCAAATTATTATATGGCTTC